CACGCAACAAAACTCGTGGTTCTCTAGCCATTGCTCTCTACTCGGTCTCCCCCCTTCCCTCAGCAGACTTGCACTGAGAACAGATTTCAAGGGAAATCTTGAGAAGAATGCATTTCACACACACACACACACACACACACACACACACCACAATTCTCCACAACGGGGATCCGAAGCGGCCGACGCCATTCTCCTGTCCTCCGGTTTATCCTCACAACAACCCTGTGAGGTAGGTGAGGCCGAAGGATTGTGACTCGCCCAAGGTCACCCAGCGAGCTTCCACGGCAGGAGCAGGGATTCGAACCTGGGGCTCCCAGAGCCTAGTCCCACACTCTGGCCACCGCACCGTGTTGGCTTTTACAACCGTTGCCGTGACGAGGTTTAAAAAGGCAGGAGACAGAGAAACAAGCAGGGCGTGGGGGGAGGAGAGGTATGTCGCACTCATCCAGCGCTGCAGCTGAGCCAGGGCCCAGCGTTTTTAATGCCAAGGCTTAAGCCTGGAGGGAAAGAAATAATCAAAGGATACATTCATAGAATAAAAGGAAATAGTTAAAGGATGCATTAACAGAAGCCTTGAGTCCAGATCACGGGAGGAGGCCGTTCCACTCTGTTCTGCTACGGTCAGGCCTCACCTGGAGGACCGTGTCCAGTTTTGGGCACTACATTTTAGGAAGGATGTTGACAAGCTCGAGCGTGTCCAGAAGAGGGCAACCAGGAGGGTGAGAGGTTTGGAATCCAAGTCTTAAGAGGAAAGGCTGAAAGAGTTGGGTCTGTTTAGCCTGGGAAAGAGAAGGCTTAGCAGGGACACGATTGCAGTCTTCAAGTATCTGAAGGGCTGTCATGTAGAAGATGGAGCAGATCTATTCTCTCTTGCTCCGGATTGCAAGAATAGATCCAACGGGTGGAAATTACAAGGGAGTCAATACCAGCTAAATATCAGGAGAAACACTGTAAGAGTGGTTGAGCAGTGGAACAGACTGCCTGGGGAGGTGGTGGATGCTCCTTCGCTGGACGTTTTCAAGTGGAGGCTGGATGGCCATCTTTCGGGTATGTTGTAGGGCTATCTTTCGGCTCTGCCCCTGCAGAGTGCAGGCGGTTGGACTAGATGACCTGCAAGGTCCCTTCCAACTCTGACATTCTATGATTCTAAAGGGCTTCCGAGCATGTGCAGAGTAGCTTTTGCGCTCCTGCCATCAACTCAAGCATGGTCCCGCATAGGAAGGGCAGGGGGTACAGATAAGGGAGGTCTCTTCTCCAGGCAGAGAAAGAACCCTGAAAAACGAAGCACTGCAAACGTTTCTCCAAGGTAGGGTGGCCAGCTCCAGGTTGGAAAATAACTGGGGATTTTGGGGGTTGGAGCCCGAGGAGGGCGGGGTTTGGGGAGGGGAGGGGCTTCAATGGGGTATATGGACATATAGCCCGCCCTCTAGAGCAGCCATTTCCTCCAGGGGAACTGATCTCTGTCGCCCGGAGAGCAGCCGTCATGCCGGGAGATCTCCAGCCAGCACCTGGGGGTTGGCAACCCTGCACGAAGGGGGAGGAGCCACCCTAAACCACGTCCACCCGGAAAGTGGTGCCGAACTGTGGGCGTGGGAAGGAAGGGAGAAACTCACACATTTCAGAAGCTTGATTTCGTCCACGGCCGTCTCTGTATAGTGCACGGCGCTCTTCACCACCTTGAGAGCCACAAAACGTTTCCGTCTGGAAGGGGTGGAAACAGAGGGGGGCAGAGTCAGCGGTGGTCGGTAGGTAGGCGGACAAATGATCGGTTATAGACAGAAGAAGAAAAGATGGGATGTATACCCCGCCCTTCACTACCCAAGGGAGTCCCAGAGCGGCTTACGAACTCCTTCCCTTTCCCCTCCCCACAACAGACACCCTGTGAGGGAGATGGGGCTGAGAGAGCGCTGACTGAGGACGGCTCTTGAGAGAACAGCTCTGAGAGAACTTGTGACTGACCCAAGGTCACCCCAGCAGCTGCAAGTGGAGGGGTGGGGGATCAAACCCGCTTCTCCCAGATTAGACCCCATGCTCTTAACCACTGCACCAAACAGATGATAGAGATATCAGTAGATAATAGAGATGATAGAGATACAGATGATAGATGATAGAAAGATAGATGACAGAAGACAGGGAGACAGAGAGAGAGAAGAAGAAGAAGAGATGGGATTTATACCCCGCCCTTCACTACCCAAAGGAGTCTCAGAGCGGCTTACAGACTCCTTTCCCTTCCCCTCCCCACAACAGACACCCTGTGAGGTAAAAGAAGAAGAAGAAGAAGAGATTGGATTTATACCCCACCCTTCACTACTCGAAGGCGTCTCAGAGCGGCTGACAATCTCCTTTCCCTTCCCCTCCCCACCAGACACCCTGTGAGGTAAAAGAAGAAGAAGAGATTGGATTTATACCCCGCCCTTCACTACCAGAAGGAGTCTCAGAGTGGCTTACAGACTCCTTTCCCTTCCCCTCCCCACAACAGGCACCCTGTGAGGTAAAAGAAGAAGAAGAAGAGATTGGATTTATACCCCGCCCTTCACTACTCAAAGGAGTCTCAGAGCGGCTGACAAACTCCTTTC